GCCGGCATAGAACCGGGTCCCATATGGGATCCCGGGCGTGCAAGGCGAGGACCTTAACCGCTTGCGCCACCGCACCAGGCCTGAGTTGAGTTTTTCTTTGCAGCCTATCTGCATTATTGCAGTGGCTTCTTCATTAGTCTTTGCCGTCTGGATGCCTTTTTACGTTATCTTAATCTGTCTTGTCCAACTGGTCTTTCTAGAGCACAGCTCTGATGTGTCACTCCCTTATGAAAAGCTTTGAATGATACTCTGATTTCTTTTAGTAAAGGCTGGTTATTCAAGATTGTCTCCTAATGAGTGACCGGGCTTTCAGCTGCCTTTCCACCTTTTTTCTATACTGTTCTGCTGGTTATTTTACCAATCTCCTGGTTTGTATTTACCAATCTGCTTTACGCTTCAAGCAGATTGTTCCTTTCTTTTACCTGTCAGATTATCCCATCTTTTCCTGTAGTCTTACCTTTTCTCTTGGCATTGACTCTCATAAGAATGCCATGTTAACCATTCTCTCTAGTGATGAGGTCTAGGGTTATTTCCAAATTTCAGGTGAAATTCGGCACCTTCGCTGGACTCTTCTAGAATTTTTGCCTCAGTCCTTAGTGCAGGAGTGACTTTTGGCTTCTTGGCCAACCAGACGGCCTAAACCCTCATTTTGCATGGTTGGAGTGAAACATTTTGCAAGGTCACTGCTTCTATGTTATTTTGTATACCTGGAGTTCTATCTTTGGACTTCGTAAGAAACATCTTTTTTCATTTGTATGTGTGGAGTTAATCCTGATGTGGAGTGTTTGAAACAGCTGAATATGTTTTTTGGAAAGCACACAAAGGGGTACATCAAGAGTTCATGGGAAAATGGAATTAAAAGATGATTTGAGTGCAAAAAAAGTTAGACCTCTGCCTGATTTCATAATACACCTTTTCACCAATATTTGGAAAGCTGTGTGTGAACTCTTCCCGTTCTCACTCGGCAGGTCTGATTGGAGCACTTCCTGCTCACCCTTTTGACTTGTCAGGAGGCATTTTTGTTGGCATTGTGAAGATGGATACTATTGGCATCTAATGAGCTGAGTCCAGGGGTGCTGTTGAGCAGCCTGAAATGGACACAATAGTTCTGTCTGTCAGAAAGCTGTTGGACCCAGGATGTGAACTGCTGAACCTGAGAAGCTCTATCCTAGAGATACTCCAGGAACTCTGTCCTGGAGTTCCACTTGGATTAGATGAAACAGTATGACAAGCAACTGTGGAGGCATGCCATCTTTACCCCATTTATCTTCCAGAGTCTTGTTCTGAGTATTCAGCATGGAGAGAGAAATCGTGACTCTCAAGAATTTTTTTAAAGATATTTAGTGAGTTGACATTATCTCCCTAACATGATTCCTTAGGGCCTAGTGGAAAAATCCTCCACTTGCATGTGCTGGAATCCCTTATGTTGGCCACTTCATGTCCCAGCAGCTCCATTTCCCATTCAGCTTCCTCCTTGTAGCCTGGGAAAGCAGTCAAGGATGGCCCTGAGCCTTGGGACCCAGTACTCACGTGGGAGACTAGGAAGAAATTCCTGACTCCTGTCTTTGGATTGGCTCAGCTCTGGCCCTTGTGGCCACTTGGGGACAGCAGACGGAAGAGCTTCCTGTTTCTGTCTCCCTGTAAATCTGCCTTTTCAATAAGAATAAATCCTAAAAATAGATAGGTCTTATTTTTCATTGGCCATGTGGGATGTTGGTGCTGCTGCAGGCATAGGCTTAGTCTACTACATTGTGGCGCTTGCCCCAGTGTATGATTTTTGGTTTTGTATGTTTGTTTTTGATAGTAGTATTGATTTAGGGGATATAGATACATAAAGATTTAATCATTAGAAATAGGAGTTTCTTCAATAGACACTTTTTTTTCCTTCTCTTTCCCCTCTACCCCTTACGTTTACAGTGATACTTTTGAATGTTCATGGAAAATGTGCCTTATACACAAACTATGGAATGATTTTAGTGTTCCCTTTGCACCCAAATAAACCCAAATTTTTAATTTTCACTAAGTTTTTGGGGGTCCCTGTCAATAAGTAGTAACCATCCTTGGCTGTGCATTCTCTGGGCTATTGAGACCAAACAGAGAGAAAATGAGATGTATATGAATAATATTTGTAGAGTTTCAAAGAGTTAATAGTCAGAATTTTTTTTAAATTGTATTGGACAGATTTACAGAGTAAAGGAGGGACAGGGAGAAAAATCTTCTGTCTGCCAGTTCACTCCCCAAGTGCTGCAAGGTCCAAAGCCAGGAGTCAGATGCTGCTTCCTGGTCTCCCACACAGGTGCAGTTTCAGGGCTTTGGGCCATCCTCTGCTGCTTTCCCAGGCCATAAGCAGGGAGCTGGATGGGAAGTAGAGCAGCCAGGACAGAAGGAACTGCCCATATGGGATCCCGGCACATGCAAGGTGAGGACTCTAGCCACTAGATTACTGTGCCAGTCCTCTTCATGTTTTTTAAGTTGTGAACTTTAAAAAGAATTGAATACTTCTAGTATAACCTTGGAAAATTTACTCCTTGTCCATTTTGTGTTGTTAGTTTGACCATCTTTTTATGCTGAGCTGCCTCTGGGTTTTTCTAAGGGTAGTGTAAGTTGTGTAACATCTTTGTCCTTGCCTGAGTTCTCAGAGCTAGGCTATATCCTGCCATTGCTGAGGCAGTAGGGTACAGCTACTCTTTTCATGTGTTGAATTAATTCGTCCTCTGGAACAGATAATGTGCTTCCTTGGTTTACTAATATCAACTGTGTATTGATGTTAATTCAGAGATGAGGAGATTGAATTAATGGGAGAGGTCTGATCATGATTTTTGTTGATGGGCAAAATGAAATGGACTCAATGTTTCATGACCAATTACCTTGCATTGAATCCCTATCACTTGGTCTACAATTAACTATATTAGCAGTTAGCATTAAATTCAAAGTTAAAGATGGGTAAAGCTAATATTATGATTTAGGTCACACAGAATAACATATACTAAAAGTCCATAAGAGTAAATATAAGGGCCCGGCGCGGTGGCGCAAGCGGTTAAAGGTCCTCGCCTTGCATGCCCGGGATCCCATATGGGCGCCGGTTCTAATCCTGGCAGCCCCACTTCCCTTCCAGCTCCCTGCCTGTGGCCTGGGAAAGCAGTCGAGGACAGCCCAAAGCTTTGGGACCCTGCACCCGTGTGGGAGACCCGGAAGAGGCTCCTGGCTTCGGATCGGCATAGTATCGGCCCGTTGCGCTCACTTGGGGAGTGAATCATCGGCCGGAAGATCTTCCTCTCTGTCTCTCCTCTCTGTATATCTGCCTTTCCAATGAAAAAATAATAAATAAATCTTAAAAAAAAAAAGTAAATATAAGCCTTCAAGATCTAGCTCTTTTATGGAATGTTTGCAGATAGTATCTGTATGTAAATATTTTATGAAATTGGTCATTTGAGTATTTTTACATTAATGATTTGAATGGTCATAAGGAATCTTGATGTAAAGAGCTTGTAGAAATGTTTGACAAGTTGACAGTGCTATCTTTGGGGGAAAGACAGTCCCAGACTTCGGGATGCATGTCCCCTTTTCACTCTTAGAAATTGTTGGAGCAAAAAAAATGCTTCTGGGTTATTAATCTATCAGTAGTGCTATTTTATAAACAGAAATTTAAAAATTTTCTTGAAGTAAACCCATAACAATGTAAAAAGTAACAATAATTTAATAAATGGCATTGGCATGTTTATTGTCTGATTTAATAGAAAAGTTATGTTTCATATCTACCACATTTTATTCTGTTATGATATTATGACATGTTGTTTTAATTCAAGTATATAAAGACAATCCAGCCTCACAAATAATATTGATCGTGTTTTCAGAGAAGGGTGTATATCTTTTGATACATACCGAAATTCAACAAATGAGGGTTAGTTGTAATGTAGAATCTAAAACTGCATCAGTAAATTTTTTATTCTCTTGTTACATTGAAATGATTAGGGTCTTGCACTTGATGGTGTCCAGGAATTTTTTTTTAAGGATTTAGTCATTTAATTTTTTCAAAGATTTATTTATTTGTATTAGAAAGATTTATAGAGAGAAAGATAAAAAGGTCTTCATGCACTGGTTCACTCCCCAAATGGCCATAATGGCCAGAGTGGAGCAGATCTAAAGCTAAGAAAAAGAAGCTCTTCCGAGTCTCCCGTGCAGGTGCAGGGTCCCAAGGCTTTGGGCTGTCCTCTACTGCTTCTTCGGGGCACAAGCAGGGAGCTGGATGGGAGGTAGAGCAACGAGGACTCAAACTGGCACATGGCAGTGTCCCTGGTGGTTTTACACCATGCCATAATGCCAGCCTTTATGAAAAGCAGTATTCAATGGCTTAGTTTCTTGGGCCTCTGCATACATGTTGGAGACCTTGAAAAAAGTCCCTGGCTCCTGATTTTGGGTTGGCTTAGCTCTGGCTGTTGCAGCCATTTGGGGAGTGAACCAGTGGGTGGAAGAGCGTTTGTACTTTGTCTCTCTGTCTCTGTGTATCTTTGAGAAAAAAATCTTTACAAAACTAACTTGCTTTTTAGTATTAGGTGAGTGTTCATAAAAATAAAATTGATGGAGCAAAGTGGTATTGCAAGTATTGTCTCACAGTTGCTCTGTGAGCAGTTGGTGGAAGTTGGGTTTTCTAGCCAGAAAAATGCAGCCATAGGCATTTGACATAAACATTTTTTTGTGAGCCTAAGAAATTTTTTGCTAACATTTTATGCAGTAGTTGGGCTTTAAGTTCATCAGTGTCAAGAAGCTCAAAGCAGTCTGTAATTCTCTAAGAATGGAAATGTTTGGGCAGCTTTCAGTTTTTGATCACATATGCTAAAAGAAAAGATCCAGTATTCTTGTGCAGAGATTGTGTCCTCCTGCTCTGAGTTTGATCTGCAGAGTGGCTGCAGAACAGTCTCAAATAGAGCCTGTATTAGAAACGTGTATTGTTTGTGAATGTGCTTGTATTTCTAACTTCCTTTTCTTTTTCTTCTAGTTTGCTCTCATGGGAGGCAGAAAGGGGCCGAGGAGCTGGCCTCAGCTCCGGGAGAGGCTGGACTTCCTGTCTCCGTGTGCTGAATGGCTGCGATGGCGCCCGCTCTCACTGACGCAGCAGCTGAAGCACACCACATCCGGTTCAAACTGGCTCCCCCATCCTCCACCTTGTCCCCTGGCGGTGCCGAAAATAACGGCAACGCCAACATCCTTATTGCTGCCAACGGAACCAAAAGAAAAGCCATTGCTGCAGAGGATCCCAGTCTAGATTTCCGGAATAATCCTACCAAGGAAGACTTGGGAAAGCTGCAGCCATTGGTGGCATCTTATCTTTGCTCTGATGTAACACCTGTTTCCTCAAAGGAATCTTTGAAATTGCAAGGAGTCTTCAGCAAGCAGACAGTCCTTAAATCTCATCCTCTCTTATCACAATCGTATGAACTCCGAGCTGAGCTATTGGGGAGACAGCCCGTTTTGGAATTTTCCTTAGAAAATCTTAGAACCATGAATGCTAAGCGGTCAGACAGCTTTGCCACAAGCTCCTGTAAATGGGTTGGCTAAGAAATTGACTAAAAGTTCAGCACATTCTGATCATGACAATTCCACTTCCCTCAATGGGGGAAAACAAGCTCTCGCTTCATCTGTTCTTCATGGGGGTGAAGTGGAGGGATCCGAGTCTGGGGACTTGAAGGGGGGTATGACCGATTGCACTCTTCCACACAGAAGCCTTGATGTAGAACACACAATTACACATAGCAATAATAGCACTGCAAACAAATCTTCTGTCAATTCCATGGAACAGCCGGCACTTCAAGGAAACAGTAGATTATCACCGGGTACAAACTCCAGCTCTAACTCGGGGGGCGTCAAAGTAGAGGGTAAAAACTCTCCCTTGTCTTCCATTCTTTTCAGTGCTTTGGATTCTGACACGAGGATAACAGCTTTATTGCGGCGGCAGGCTGATATTGAGAGCCGTGCCCGCCGATTACAAAAGCGCTTACAGGTTGTACAAGCCAAGCAGGTGGAGAGGCATTTGCAGCACCAGCTGGGTGGATTTTTGGAGAAGACTTTGAGCAAATTGCCAAACTTGGAATCCTTGAGACCCAGGAACCAATTGATGTTGACTCGAAAGGCTGAAGCTGCCTTGAGAAAAGCTGCCAGTGAGACTACCACTTCAGAAGGACTTAGCAACTTCTTGAAAAGTGACTCAATTTCAGAAGAATTGGAAAGATTTACAGCTAGTGGCATATCCAACTTGAGGTGCAGTGAACAAGCCTTTGATTCTGATGTCACTGACAGTAGTTCAGGAGGGGAGTCTGACATAGAAGAGGAAGAACTGACCAGAGCGGATCCTGAGCAGCGTCACGTGCCCCTGTGAGTAGAACCCGTGCCTGTTGTCCTTGAGGATTGTGGGGAAAAGGAGGAAAGACTGAAGGAACCCTCATGGTGGAGAGAGAGATTCTGCATAGGTGTTCTAGGTTCCATTTGTCTGTTTCCTGATCTTAGGTAGGCTGTTGGTTTAGTTTCTAGTGAAAAATGGAAGGTATTTCCATTGTGTGTGTATTGTAGGCTAAAAGGCCTTGATTTCCTTTCAAATCTTACTTATTAAGAAAAAAGCAAGATAACTGGGTTGCAGAATTGTACCAGTACTTTCACAGTGAGCAATTTAGCTTTCTTTTGAAGCTTTAGGACATCTTGGTTAAGTGTTCGTGGCTTGACTATTCAGATTTTGTTATTTCTAGTAAGTGGAGAACAAAGGTTTAGTTGACCTGAGTATACTAGAATTTGTAGTTGGTTAAAATTGAACTTTCATCAGAGTGCAAAACTGGTTTTTAGCTTTTTATAGCACTTGGATTTTTGTTATGTTGTGAGGACATTCAAAAGATGCTTGAGAATATTTTCTTGGTTGCCTTGCAGTCCACTTTCACAGCTTGTTGGTTTTCTTAAAAGAGCCTGCTTTATGAGATTCATGTTTTTATTTTCTCTTGGCTAAGTGTATTGGCACAGCTTGGATAAATCGTTCCTGGTTTTTCTGCATTTGTTGGGGGAACTTGGAAGCAGCTCTTCATGAGTGGCACTCCAGATTAGCGTGATGGAGCCCAAAGAGCCTCATTCTTATTCTTGCCTACCAGTCCCACCTGTATGTATGTAAAACACACTCAGGGGTCAGTGGATCTGTACTGACAGGTGTTATGAGAAGGGACACAAGAAGTTAGAGAACAGGAGCAGGATAGTTTGGGTAGAGATGCTGCTCTCTGGATTGTGAGAGAAAGTTGAAATGTGTGAGCGTGTTAGAAACATTAAGTTTTCCTTATCTGGTAATAAGGTAACTGTGAAAAGTGTTACTGAACTTTTCTCTGGAGGGCTTGATTAAACAGCTATGTTTTTAAGCAGAATACTTAGTTTCTTAATTTTATTTATATTGCTCACATGGATTACATTGTGTGTCATTTTGATTTTGAGAGAAGTCTGGATCATTTTTGCTGAATTTCTTGTAACTCCAGTTCTATAATGATTTGTTGGCTTATTTTACTCATGTCTACTTCCATCTTCACATTCAAAGCAGCTGCATTTCAGAGGTTTGCTGCTGTCTTCCTTTAAATGGTTTATTAGCTTAAGTTAGCTTGCCAGTAGGTCTGACATCATACTTGGTGACTGTACTGCCCAGTTGAAAAATACCTTGGTGAATATTGTTTTGCTTTTAATCTATAACAGACATTATGGTTGAAGCATTTTAAATTGTTATGTTCTTATTTTGTATATTTAGAACTGCAAAGTTAACTGTTGTCAAAAGATACATTATATTGAAAACATTTCTGAGTTTTGGTAGTGTTATTGGGTGAGTGTTCCAATCTGATAAAGTGAAAATAACTCAGAGAGCTTTTCTTACTGTGAAAAAATAGGATAATGATTTGATTTTCTAGAACTAGTCCATTTATCCATCACTTCGTTTTGAGCTGTCTTTTCACAGAAGTGTGTGGTGCTTGGAAGAGTGACGTATAGGGACAGTCAAGATGAAGGTGTCACTTTGAAAAATTTTCGGACTCTTTTTAAGTCAGTGAAGTAGTGTTTTTAAAAAGTGAATTTTCGTGTTTCAGAAGTGCTTAAGACATTTGAGCACTAAAATTACTATCAAGTAAATGTACTTTTTGCACATTATAATGTGCTTAAAGCCATCAGAAAATATTTGCAACCTTAAACTTCTCATTGAGCAGGTGCTTAATCTGAGAGTACAGATTTCTGCACTCACAGTTGTCCAGGCAGTATACCTAGAAGCATTGCTTTCATTAAAACAAAAAAATAAGAGTAAAAGGGAGGTTGTTCTTTGGATGTTGAGAAGTTTTCCTTTTGTATTATAATAGTACCTTCCAAATCTGCTTACACTGATAACAGTTGAATGCTAGAATGAGAAGTTGGTTAACCTTTTGGGATCCTAACTGATCGGTTTCTGCTTCCCTGGTGCCCTTAATCCATTCATTTGCAAGGGACACATTGGGCTAAATTTTCGCTGGGTAATTAGGAAATTACGTTGAGCAGGAGACTCTTGAATAGTTGTTTTTAAATGATGTTTTAAAATTACAAATGGATCATTTCTCCGAAAATTACAAACTCTTCTCATAGAATTGTGGCTTTTTTTTTCCTACCTCCAAGAGGGAAAACAGTGAAACTTTGTAAGTCCTTGACTCTTCTAGCAGTTGTAAGAATTGTTTCTTATAGTTGAAATTTTGGCAAATATTATATATTTGTGTATTGCTAAAAGAAACCAGTTTGAAAAAAATTCCCCACCTTATTTATCTAATTATTTTAAGTTGATTGATTTCATGTTTGCTTAAAAGAATTTAAATTTGACTCTGCCTAAGGTGTTCCATATAGCTTTCTGTCTTGGTACAGTGGACATATAACTTTTTTTGAAAATCCTGCGTTATCTCAGATTTGTTGTGACCAGTTATGTCATTGTTTACTAATGTCACCTTGGGAGGCATGGGGATTTAGAGATCATCTCCTTGGTTGAAATTAAGGAACCTGTGTGTGTGTGGTGTTTGTTTTAAACTTGTGTGTTTTAATAAACATTTCAATGCTTGGTTTTAGTTGTAGAGGTATTACGTATGTGAGCTTGTTGTTTAGTATATGCTCATGTGTTTGCTTTCTTTCGTTTAGGGTTTTTATATTGCTCTACTTTCCTCTCTGTGAGTTTTGGGTTTCTTTTTCTTCCTGCTGTTTTTTGTTTTTAAAGATTTATTTTTATTAGACAGTCAGATACAGAGAGAAAGAGCTTCCGTCTGCTGATTCACTCCCCAGCCAATCCTAAGCCAGCAGCCTGGAGCCTCTTCCAGGTCTCTCATGTGGGTGCATCTTTGGGCCGTCCTCGACTGCTTTCCAATCAGGGAGCTGGATGGGAAGTGGGGCTGCCAGGATTAGAACCGGTGCCTGTATGGCATCCCAGCGTGTGTGAAGCGAGGACATTAGCCACTGATCTAAAGTACCGGGCTGTCTTCTGCTATTTTGTTATGAATTTTGGGATCTGTTTTTCATTTTGCTTCAGTTTGGTTTTTTCTGGGCCTGTGCTGTAGTAAGTGCTTGCTGTTGAAATAATTTTTCCGAATAGTGTCTCTAGTGTGCTGTTAGATCAGTAAGGTACCTGAACCACATATGTAGACTTTTCTTCCCTAAGTATCTTTGTAAGAACCTCAGGGAAACAAATGTGCTATCAAGAGTACTTGTATTTTTTCCTAATTTAGTCTTTTTACCTGGATACTATAATCTGTGTTCACTAGGTTTCTGCTTCTGTTTAAAATTTATGTCCGTTTGAATGATGGTGACATAGAGGGGTTTACTGCTCCACTCCATTAGTGGCTTAGTGACTGAGGCTGGGCCGTGGAAGACAAGAGCCAGGAGCCTGGGACTCTAGGAACCTTGGTGTCTCCCAGGTGGGAAAAAGGACTTGAGCACTTTGGCTGTCTTTCATCATTTTCCCAGAGGGCTGTATGGGAAGTGAAGCAGCTGAGACTTGATGCTCTTATGAGATGCCAGTGTTGTAGCAGCAGTGTACCTGACAGCGCCATCCTGGAGGTTTTTGTTTTCTTGTTGGTTTTTAGAAGTTTACTGTCAAGCTTATAGGTCTTCCTGTTGGGCATTATTTTCTTTTTAATTTATATTTATCTTCATTTTATTTGAAAAGTGTAAAGACAGAGACGTACCATTTGCTGGTCACTCCACATGCTAGTAACAGTCAGGACTGGGTCATCCTGAAGCCAGAAACCTGGGGGTGTTTGTGCATCTCCCATATGGGCGATGGGGCCCAACTTCTCTATCCCGGGAAGTACATTAATGATAGCAAAATTGGAAGCAGATGAGCTGGTCCTCAGACCTGCACTTGGGATGCAGGTGTTCCAAGGAGCGTCTACTCAGCTGTACCAAATGTCTTCTTCTGTTGGATCTTAACTTGTGTTTTATTTGCCTAATGGCCTCCTGAAAGATCTAGTCCAGATCAGAGTTGAGTAAAAATAAGCTAGATGCTCCATTTAGAGACTGAGCACTTAAATTTTGGACTTTTTTTTTTTTTACTAGAAAGTCAGATAAACGAGAGGAAGGAAGATCTTCCGCCTGAAGATTCACTCCCCAAGCTGCTGCAACGACCAGAGCTGAGCCAATCCGAAGCCAGGAGCCCTGAGGCTCTTCTGGGTCTCCTGTGCCGGTACATGGTCCCAAGGCTTTGGCTGTCCTGTCTACTTTCCCAGGCCACAGCAGGGAGCTGTGGGAATCAGGGCTGCCGGGATTAGAAGTGCCCATATGAGATCTCGGCACTTGCAAGGCAAGGACTTTAGCCACTAAGCAACAGTGTCAGGCCCTCTGTACAATCTTGATTGCAATGACTTTTCTGTACTTCAGCTGGGGATTTTTTTTTTTTAAAGATTCATTTACTTTTACTGAAAGGTGGATTTACTGAAAGGAGGGACAGAAAGGTCTTTGACCTGCTGGTTCACTCCCCAAAATGTTGCAACGGCTGGTGCTAAACCGATCTGAAGCCAGGAGCTTCTTACAGGTCTCCCGCCCAGGTACTGGGTCTCAGCATCCTTCTGCTGCTTTTGCAGACTATAGTAGGGAACTGGGACAGGGAGTAGGTAGCATCCAGCATACAAACCAATGCTCGCTTGTGGTGCAGGTGCTTGCAGCTGACAGCCAGTTGAGCCATTGCGCCTGCCCCTTTACTGGGGAATTTTACTTCACAGTTAGTAAAGCTCTCAAAGTATAAATTTCTAGTGTTTGGAGGTTTTGGTGTTCAGACAGTTTAGAATATTGTATGTATTTACTATTTGTGTATACATTTTAACTCCTCCTGATGTTGCCAAAGTTGCAGTTTTCCATTCTCCTAATCTTCCTGTTACAGAACTGTGGGTAGGGGAAGGTGTTAGCCAAGTGACCCAAATCGTTTTTTCCAATAACCCTTTTAAGCTGAAAACTGGCAATAGATGATAAATTATAATCTTTTCTAATTAAACTGAGGGAATTGAATGAAAAATGCCAGTTGGGAGCAGATTATTTTGAAATGTGTGTCTTTAGTTTTTTTTTTATCTGAAAGAAAGAATTACAGAACCGGAAAGAGCGAGATCTAAAGTTTCTGGTTCAGTCCCCAAATGGCTACAACAAGCAGTGGTGGGCCAGGCAGAAACCAGGAAGCAGAAGCAGCTTCAGAGTTTCCCATATACATAAGAGGGCCCAAGTTCTTGAGCCATCCTCTGCTCTTTTCCGAGGCACATTATCAGGAGT